GCTCTTTCTAAACGTGGCGTTGTTTATGGGACCTTAGTATTCAGAACAGAATCAGTCGATGGCAAACAACGAAAAGGCTTTTATGTGGTAAGTTACAGTGATGAACCTTGCCTCGAGATGGTCATATTTTTGTACATACCTTCATGCAATTCAGTGTTGGTCTGAAAAGTTTTTGTTATGGATGGGGGAAGGGGGGGGGGGCGAGAGATCAGAATATGTACCTCGTGTTGTTTACCAGACATTAAAGTAATGAAAACTGTTAAACAGTCTTCTACAAATCAAAATAGTTGCAAATGCTTACGGGAGGTCCTAACTATATGATGATTAGAAGGGCTATATCTGGAAAGGTGCATGGTCGTGGAGTTAAGGAGATTTGACTAATCAACCAATTTCCCGCTAAACATAAGGGCGTGGCCAGTGGCCCCAAAATTGTGTTCGCTCGCCCCGGGCTGGCTCGACGTTTGGGATACGGTTATGGGGTTATAAACAATGAGTTCATCATCTATATAGCCTGCTCGCCCCAAAGTGACTGCATTTGGCTTTTCAGAGACACATCAGTTACTGTATGACCCTCTGCGATCAGATTTTATGTCCGTGGTACTGGTGGTGAGGTCAGTCTACAAGCAGAGTCGTGAAAAACACCGCCACTTGAGCCTTTACGTTCAAAACATTCCTGGCTATCGGGAAAAAAAGAAGGAGCTTTTAAAAATGCTAAATAAAATGTCATTTCAAATTTCACTTTGTCACCGTTCGAAAATTATTGTGAATCAGACCGAATGAAAGTTCACTCAAAGAGGGGGAGGGGGGAGGGGGGGTTGGTAGTTCTTAACAGTTCCAGTTAGCTAGAAAATTAAAAGTTACGAAAAAATAGTGGGCGAACTGCAGAATACATGCAAGAATGAGAAATAAAATAGAAAACAACTTCCTGTTCAAATTCGGGTGAAACGTTTAATAGCGTCAAGAAGACTGAACTTGATTGAGGTTGTTCATTTCAGTTCCGTTCCAGCGTGCAGTTCCCTGTCCTCCTAAAAATAGCTTCGTCTCCCACCGATCATTCCATGTCATATTTTGCGGACTTATCATTCAGTAATGACGGTACGATCAGGTAATTTGACTTGATGAGTTCTTTAATTTCATTTCATGTACTAGTTTTATATCTTACGCTGGAAAGATCTGCCAAACAGTGTACATTAGCAAAGGTGGGTTCCTGTTTACACGTGTAATTATCGAATACCATACAATTTGCATAAAGCTACAGTGCACGGTTGGTTTTTCTAGCCTTTTGATTAAAATTGACAACGTTTGCGTTATCTTTGCCTAAGAAAATATGTAATTTGTAGCTGTATACAGCGAAATACTACAGAGAAAATTGTAACTGTGCAGTACACGAGCGGCTCCCGACTGTTCTGGGAAATCGAAGAGCGAACTTGAGCTAGTACCGTGTGTAACAAAATTTATAATTTTCAAGCGTATATTTCAAGCTCTTCGCAAGATCAGAATCAAAAGATCATCTGTTTACACTACAAGGGAGGGTTTTTTAAGCGATAGATAGGGTTTAAGAGGCACGATCAATTTTTAAAGAATTTTCTTTTCAAATATTCACCGAATTTTGTTTTGAAGTTCTAGCGGCCAAGTGGCTGAACCACTGCGCAATCATGCAATCATATTTCTGTTCCGTTGCATTTGCCCAATTATTTTATTCAACAATCTAACTTAGCTATAAACAAACTATGTTTAGTTAAAATGGCTTAGTCTAAATCGATGTGGCATGGGTGATATTGGCCTTCCAATTTCTACCAAATTTGTGTACCTTTTAAGTACCGAAAAAGTGCTGTGAGAAGTTATAGCCGTTCGTAGCTCAGGCTTAACCATTTTCAGATAAGAGTAGGTAAATGAAAGGAGGAAGGATAGTTCTTTGCAACTGTATGAGTCACGATTAAGTTATTTTAACGATAAGGCTAGAATTAATTACTGTAAATCTCCGTCAGTTCACCAACATGGCGGCCGCTCGAGGCCTCGTCAAAACTGTCATTCCTGTATCTTTGAAACCAACGAGAATTCGAACCTTAGAATATGCATTCAGTATTTAGGACACCATTCTAAGACTACATGCCAAAAATCAGCCAAATCGATGAGGTACCGTGTCAGGCCGAAGTTCGAATTTTACAGAAAATCACTCTTAAGCATTACAGGGCTCAAATTTCCTTTTAATTCATAAAGGCAATTTGAGCCCATAAATGCGTAAAGGGAAGATTTAATTTAGGTGCTGTTCTAGACATTACTGTAAATCCCCTCAGACACCGTGAATTGTCTATTTTCCTTCCAAGGACTTTTTTTTTTGCAAATCTCCCAGCCAGCAAAAATTTGCCTGAAGAACAGAAATATTGATCCATCTTTGGTGTTGTTTATTTACCGTAGCACGGTGATCTGTACACTAACCTGACTCGTTACCTGTGACTTGTGACCTGGAATTTGTTCCTGCTGCTTATTTAAAGTTTTCTTGCGGATAAATTGACAACTTGAAAGTCCTTTCTATTCAAGGTGCGTGGAAAAAAGATTGGCTGCTACAGTAATAAATCCCCTACAAATGCATTACCAGGTTCTTTTGGTGACATCAAAAGCGGTTCCGATCCAGACGCAAGTTATGACTTCTGCAAAGGGAAAGCTGAATCCCTCGACTACAAGATATTTGGAGTAGACGATAAGAATTGCTTGTATGGAGACAATTAATGCCGACATGAATTACGTCAAGTATGAAACATCCAAATTGTGTGTTTTCAGTAAGGCTGATAAAGGCCATTGCCAACGGACAAAGCAGTTATGGGAATATGTTTGTCTATAGGCTATAATCATGACGTAAGCGGACGATTGTTGCTGAAGAGCGTTTATTATCGACGCAGTATACTTTCCTATATTCACCATATTCACATAGACCATAATGCTCCCAAATTTTGCATACTTCTACAAAGCTTGACGTGACATATCAAAGTCCTTTTGCGTCCCCTTGCATCTTTTAGAGATGAAGTGTACATGCAGCGCCGCGCTGCCAGTAATAGGTATGTTTTCGAAAATAGAACCATGCAATTAAACTAATTCAGAATATATCTGGAGGAATACTTTTCCCTACCCTCAAATTTCGACAAGTAGATTAACTTCAACGGTTCGCCCCTCACATTTTACCGACCGCCGAAATGAGTATCAAGATTTGATTTTATCGGCTGAGTCATATAGATTTAGCCAATACTAAAAGCTGAGCTCCTGAAAAATATGAAGCACAATTAAGTCGAAAAACCATCAATGGTAGCGGAGCCAACACTCGAAACGTCAGTTTCTCATCGAATCCCTCTACGATAAATTCAAGTCTTTGTAACTCTTTCCCCAATCAACGGGAAAAACACAGTTCCTCTAGGAACTAGCCTCTTCAACAATCAAGATTTTACAGCGAATGACGGCGCAGTACGCACTCTTCAACGGTTAAGATCACTTTAGTGGTTTAAAAAATTTGGGTGCGGTAGCTTATCTTCTCCGCCCTTAAATTTGCCATACTACAGTAGGACCCCGCTTTACGGACACCCGCCTAATACGGACACCTCGTTATTACGAACAGTTTTTTATGCGCCTGAGGAAAGTCCATAATAATAATAATAATAATAATAATAATACAGACAACCGTTAATGGGGACAATGGACACTTGTTTCTTGCCCAATGAACAGTTTCTCATAAAAAAGTTAACCTCGCTAATGCGGACACTTCATTATCAACTTCATTATCAACTGACCCAGAAATCCTTAAGGATTGTGAGAGAGGAAAAGTTTAAAGAAGTATATGCTATGTAGAAGGAGGTCCTATGGGCGCCATGAAAAAGGATACTGTGGGATTTGAGCTAAATTTAGGAAAGATGTGATTTTGGAACTGATCGTAGCAACAAAACAGGGATGATTACAATAAAAGGGCAAAGCTTGGTAAAAACATCATTTAAAGTAGAACAAAGAGTATGTCTTTAGTCGGTATTGGCTCTGAGTGGTAGTATATACTGTCTAGCCTTAGGGAACTGGTATGTTTACCAAAGAAGACTTATAGGGATATAAAGGGTTTTATACTACAAGTAGCTGAGGGTAGTTGTAATCAGAGTCAGGAATGAAAGAGCATTTGCGTATTTTTCATGCAGTTTAATTTCTCGACTCGCTGAAACAAATCATCCTTTGATATATAAGTATGTGTTTCGTGGAACCAGATCTTAGTGGTAAGGGCTAGATGGTTGAACATGCTGCCCTGCCGCACTAACAAACAAAAGACTAATCTGACAGCTACTGAATATATTTCCATGATAAGGACTGTATTCTTGGTCAAGAATTACATTTGGAAAACGCACATTATGTGACACCATTTCATTGCCTCGTGCACGATTACGAATACAAAATGTTTTACTACTTTTTAATTCTCCTAACTATCTAACTGAATTTCATGTGTACAACAATTTGAACTCCCTCCCCCACCCCTTTTCCTTCAACAATACGTATTAAATCAAAAGGTTTACTCCATCGGGCGTTTAACCTTAATTGTTTAGTAGATCGTTCAGTATCAGTGTTAAACTGGAAGGTTTTGGTGCGCCATGTAGTACAAAGAAGCCGAACTTGTTTTAGTAACTTAGTTACTTGTTTGTTGCCTTATTAAAAAGTCAAAATAGCAACACATGATTCAGTTAATCTTTTAAGAATGAAAAATTTGCCTATCAAACTTTCTTTGTAGGGAAAAAAAAAAATTAACCGGGAACTGTTTGAGACTGAAAATAACAAAGACAAACGTACAATTTAGTACTTTGGATTCCAAAAACGAGCACTGTGCATGTATTACGGCGTCTTGGTAGACCACAATGCGTATCATATATGTGTTAAGAGTAAAATCCTCGGTTATCAACTACCACACCATTATTGGATATGTGCTAAATTTATCCCTGAAATTGTTCAGCTAATTCACAATCTTTTTTCTCAAATGTATATCAGCCGTGACGGACAACTACACTGCTCTGGACTTGTCTCAAAAACTCCAGAAAGGCGGGTAGCTTGTCGGCAATCTGTTCTGGTTCCCAGTTTCCCTCATCGAGGAGACGATCCCATTCGTCACAATGCAGGTGAATGTCAGCCTAAAATCAAACGTTGAAAAAAATTTGGTAGAATAAGAACATAGCACATTAAGTGTCTATTTGAATTAGATACAGGGAACGTCGTGAACTTTACTGTAAATGAAATTTAGGGAAATTGATAAAAGCATTATAAAGCAACCAGGATTAGATTTTAACAAAAGAAAAAAAAAACAGGAAAAGAACAAGGGTTAAGATCAAGAAAAGATCTATAGACAAAAATTCAATAAGATCAACTTCTTTTTAGGCTTTAGTCACCTAATTTACAGAGGCAGGTTCATTGTTTCGTATCTCGACTGTTATTCTTGTACACTTGAATTCTCTAACAGTTATCTAACTGAACGCGCGCCATCAATTCCAAAGGCCATCAATTAAAATAACCGATAAACCAGTGCAAAATGAAACAAAAATTGATGTGGTACATGGTCGATTTGCTCCGCGGCACATTTAACCCTTTCACTGTCAAATGTAGCCAAAGGCAAATTTCGACCACGTTTGCAAATTTCCTTTTGTAAAACTATGAAAAACAAATAGCACCATGTGTAAGTACAGACAGAGAGGGTTCATTTGAATGGTCACATCATAGGATTTCGTCCACAGATTCAAAAGTTAGAGCCATCTTACAAAACTCCATCAAACACTCTGGCAGTGAAAAGGTTAATCTGAATTTCCGTTATAATTGATCGTCCGAGTTTGAGATGTCAGCTTTAGATTGAGGGCCAGCAGGTTCCAGTCCTTACCGAGATCTTTTGAGAGAGAGAAGCACCGGCCAACTGTCCATGACCAGAGTTTTTTTTGAAACGTCCCCTTCATTCTCTTTAAACAGAGCGAATCCAATGAGTCAAGGAGAGTCCAAGGGAATTCACCCGACATCCACTAACTAATGCTGCACAGCCTCATACAGTCGATTTCAAGCATGGTTAGCTTATTTTATCTAACTTCCAGCCTGGCTTTGGTTATTTGCAAGCTCAGCTGAGCCTGGTTTGACTCAAGGAAACTACTTGATTAAACCAGACTTGAATACCGTTCAACCCAGGCCTAAACAGGGTTTTGGTGGAAGGGATGGGACTGCCTTCTTAGTTTTGCTTTGCGTTATTTTCGTCACTTATATGTGTTGTCCTCTACTGTGCTCACACGTTGGGTGGCTCCTCCTAAAATGTTCTGCAATTGGTATAGGATTTAATGGAGCCGAAACCAATTGTGGAATTGCACGCATTTTAGGCATCCTACTGATGAACAGTTGGGACATGTAGATATATTTATTAGCAACTACTATAATTTGCATTCTGTCTACTTTGAATCAATTACGTCGACCTCATTTTAAAAGAGTTGAATAGTGCTAGTGAACAAATTGGGGCCACGCACATTGCGTAATAAAAGAAACTCATAAGGGCTTGTGCTAATTTTTGGGCAAAATAATTATAAAAACACTGATGAAAAACCTTTGAGGGAATGTCGTCAATGCTGCTTGCGTCAGGCTCATAAGGGCAAACGTTTGTTGCTTGATCTTTGCAAACAGTCAAGCTGAACTGTTCTCCATCCGACATTTCATACTGATAAGTCTTTCGCAGACTACGCCGCTTGTAAAACAAGTCAAACCCATCCTGCAGCTCTGAAGCCGGCGGCAGCCTTAACTGGCCACCCTCAATCCTCATTCCCGTTAGGTAAGCTTCTAAAATTTTGTCTTCTTCTTCGTCTTGTGGAGTTTTTGGGACATAAGTGGTGCCTTGAAAAAAAGAAAAGCAAAGAATTGTTCTTAAAAAAGGAAGGCCGCAGTAAGACCCTTTGTATCATTACAATGGACCACACGGGAACAGCATCGTTAAAGTATACGCTTATATGAAAGACAGGTTGCTCAGACATGCATGGCCAGATGAAGCACCTAAAATGAGCACTGCTCAGTCTATCACTTGTTAACCTGGTTAACAGTCCTTAGTGCCATTCAACGATGGGTTTCAATAGATCGTGATCTAAATGAGCAATCCTTACCTGTCCACTTCACGGTCCAGAAATAAATAAAGCTACCTTTCTCTCTTGTAAGTACAATTCTTTTGTTTTCTTTGGTAGCCGTAATCGATTAATATGTCTTCTGCTATTTGAAATTATCTGAGCCCGACGCATAAAGTCAAACAAGATTACTCAGTGTATGAAAGTGGACATGATCTTCGCAGTAGAAAGAGCAACCAAAGCGGTTGAAAAAGAACCTGGAAAAATTCAGGATTGACCGGGAACCGAATCCTGGCCTTTGCGATAACCGGACGCAACGCTCGGTCAATCAAACCTGAATTTTTCAGGCTCTTTTTCAATCGCTCAGATTGTTCATTCTACTACGAAGATCATGTTCACTTTCATATCTTTACCCGCAGTTCAAAATATGATTCATTCCATATATCTAAAAATTACTATAATCAAACAAAAGACGCCCAATCCCTTTCCTTCCTAGACATTACCGTAGGAGTAATGGGCCCCGAAAAGAACGTTACAGGGTGCTTTTAAATATTACCCGATTAAACTCTGACCTCCAAAGATGATTATACTTGCAGTAGTTACCAGCAAGAGCCTTATGCGTAACCTTGTCATAACCCCTTACTAATTCAAACAGCTTTCTTTTTGTGACAGGTCATCCTCTCTTAATAATTAGTAAACCAATCAAATAAGTCAAATAAAGAGTTAAGAGTTTTTAAGATTAGCCTTCATTCAAGATCAAGCGGTTTGAGAGGAACCACAAACAATCGCAGACTTTTAAGTGCAGGGATTTTCAAATAAGGCGAAATTATAAAAGGGAGTCAAATAAAGGATGACAGAAACACGGGTCAACAATTTTCACTGCTATCTATTTCGAAAGTCTTACATGTTCTAATGGACAAACGGCAATCGAGGTCCTGAGAAGGTATCAAAATATCCGCTCTCAATCGGCTTTGAAACTGAGAGCAGATGTGAAAACAGGGCGTGTCCGAAGTGTCTCCTTGTTCATCAGACATCACACGTGTTCGAATGTTCTTTACAGTAATGGGTGTCCTGCGTGAAAATGCCATGGATGATGCTGCTTCCCCAGCCTCTTCTCCTTCCGGTTCTGTGAGCCACACCTATTCATACAAACAACAAAGGAACATTTTATTAATGGGAAGCAAATCAAGAGATGTAAGAGAAGAAGGGCGAACCGCAATACTCCAGGAAGAAGGCTTTAACACAGTTTATTAAAGTTTTAAGTCAGAATCAGCCATCGTGTAAGAAAAACTACATGGGAGAATGTAGAAAGCTTCTTAGAAGGGCTAGACCTGGGTGTTTTGAAAGCCTGTTTTATCCCAAAAGAACCCTCTTAGTTAGAGTCCTGGAACGTTATTTATGCGCACGAAACCTCCGTTAAATAGAAGTCTGGTTGGTTGTAGATGTTACACTACCATACGCAACCTTTCCTAATTGCAATCCCACCACTCAGGGGCAACCAGTACCTTCACACGAACATCCCTGCAGGTTGGGGTGTAGAAAGTGAGGTCATGTCTAATGTCCTCTTTTGCCGCTTTGGATGAGAGACTCTGCTCAATATCCAAAACTTCCATGTCTTCTACGCCCTCTACGAAAAATGACTTCCAGCTTTTGTTTTTCCCGTCCTCTAGTTTTTCTTTGAATTCTTCCAGCGTAAACGTGTGCTCTAATTCGTCTGCAAAAAAAGCAAATTGTGATTTTAAAAGTATTGTCCATTTTGCTTGGTTAAAAGTAAAACTTACCAAAGACCTCCGCATTTCTTTTTTAGAGAACTAAAAGCCGAAAAAAGCGAAAGGCAATGACATAGCCAATAAGATTATCAAGAGCAGCTATACTCGGGTATGTGTTTATTTGGAACAAATAACTCTGCTGGTGTTCCACTCAAAGCATCTTGGAGCTGTTTTCAAACCATGAGTCGACAGTTGCTTTTTTAAATTTATTTGGTTATGAGTTGGTACGGTTTGTGATTGGCTGAAAAACTCGCACCATTTTTTTTCCAAAAGTAAACCAGAATCAGTCGTGTCTTACTGAGATGTGTTTTTCCTCGCTTGTCACCCGCCTATACGTTTGCTAAGACTGGTCCTTTCCATTATCATTATAAGTGTGTAATGTCAAGAGTAAATAGGTTGTTATTTTTTATTAATACTAACAAGTTTAAACCGATTTTGCATTTTTTTTCTTCACGTTAGAGGATGCGAATGCCCTTCCTTTATTAGGTGCAAACTTTTAAGCCTAACTATCCATGCAGCCTAGCTTAAACCAGAAGTAGTAAATGTTCACCTTTCCCGTTTAGACAGAGAGACATAAACTTTATTTACGGTTTCAAAGGCATGGCTTTTAGCCTGCAGTTAAATTGTCTTTTTCTATTATGTTATTGAACAATCTAAGGTCCTGACGTCACATACATTCATACATGTTACGCCTTGCAGCGTAATAATATGTTTGAGAAACTACATTAAGATCCCTACCTTCATCAACCTTAGTGATGTAAGCACGGCCAAAATGACACCACATGTCGACACGGACTTCCTCTTTGGCCTTCTCCTGATGAATTTGCTTTAAAACTTTAACAATTTTTTCCTTTAATCTATCTGTGTGTAGAAAACCATCGAGTGTTTCCTGTAAGTTGATATATATAAAAGGAAACAATGTGTACAAATGTAAGGACTGAAATTTTATATTAATAGTGCTGTGATGTAGCTAGACACTCAAGGCCCCCGTGGGACCTGGGTCCCCAACTTAAATTTTCAGGCCAAACTGAAGCCTGCCGGGGGGCCGAGAAAATACTTTATCACTATTACTTAGTCTACACTTAGAATTTAAATTTGAGTTTGCGTTTGCTACTTATTTACCACCTGTTTTTGCATTTGCCATATGAATATTTGTTTAGTTTTTGTCGTTAGTTCGATCTCAGAGAGAGGACGAAACATAGCCGTTTGCAATTAAAGTGCTGTTCACGCTAACACCTGCGTATAAGAATTCGATCCTCCGGCTCCAACTGACTTTTAATTTCCTCCTTGATTGATAAATAGATAGAGGATTTACGGAATCTATTCTCGCTCATCAGCATTAGGTTCGTTTCAGGTGAAGAACAGTGTTTATAATGATCTTGGCCTAATCAAATATATGCAAGTGAAAATAATGTACGTACCTCCTTCAAAGGAGGTCCCCTTAGTATAGGCTTGTAGTAATACTCTCCCAAGCTTGCATTTGTTATGGGAGTTGGTGCGACGGACAAATAAAGTTCGTGATTCTCTTCTAACTGGGCGGTGTCTACATGGACAAACTTCAAAGGAGCGGCCCTCTGTGAATACTTCATAGCGCGGTTCTAAAAGGGTGCAAAACAATAATTATTTTACATTGTCACAGCTTATTAACGCTGGCGGGCATCTTTTCCCTGCGTGATATCATATATATATATATATATTAGTGCTGATATGATGTCTGAACCTAAGTCAAAAGGTGAGAATCGAAGTCATGCGAAGGTGGTTTCTGCACTTCATTCGTTAAGGTTTCTTTATGTACGGGTACATTGAGTGGACTGTTCATTAAGGCATCGCCTTTTAAAAGACCCGTGGAAACGGACGCAACATCGTTGGGTGTTGCGTCCGTTTGAACACCCTGTTGCATGTTGTTGCGTGTTGTTGGGAGTTGTTGCGCAAAGTTTGACCCGGTCAAACTTTTAGCCCCGTGCAAACGGAAGCAGTATTGTTGGCCACCAACCCCCAACACTGATTGATGTTACATGTTGCGTCCGTTTCCACACCCTGTTTCATGTTGTTGGGAGATATTGCGCAAAGTTTAAACGGTTCAAATTTTTAGCTATGTGCTAACGAAAGCAACAACTCCCAACAATATTGCGTCCGTTTGCACGAGGTTTAGTGTAAAACAAGATGTTAAAACTTCACTAGGGGAAAACGTATACGTACCACTGATTCTTGTATTTCGCGTCGGGCTAATTTCTCTTCCTTTTTATCAGCTCCTTTGATATGGAAATTGTTACCGATTATTTTTATTGAAACCCCGATTTTCGTTTCGATGGCTCTCAATTTCTCGCCTCCTTTTCCCAGAACTTGACCAATCAAATGTTGGGGTACCATTAGGTTTTGTAGCATTTCAAATCCTCCTCCTCTTGGTCTGCCTTCTCGGTGACTCATCTGTTAAATCAAAAGATGGTGGGAGAAAATTAATTTATAGTATCATCGTTTGCACTGCAAAAAACGCCTGCTTTGCAGGCCGGTAAAGACAACTAAAGATATTTTGAAACAAAACAAAAAAACAAACAAAATAACATCAACAACAACAAAAGAAAAAAATAACAGCCTCAGGCAACCCTGCTAAAAAGAGCAGAATAAGTCCGAGATTAAATGGTTATATGAATTTCCTAAAATATTTTTGTCCTTGGGTTCAGCTTAGAATAAAGAGCGGAAAATATATCTGTTTGAATGACTTGTAGTGACGTCTTGACTCAATGAAGGCATTGGAAATTAGTTTCCAGTACAAACGTGATTGATTGTTTTCAATCCGGCATAATTGGTCAACTTCGACTTGTGGGTGCTTACTGGATTCAAGATTTCTCCAATCATGGTTTTAGCTTCGTGAATTTGTTCGGCTGTTCCTCTCAAGTGAGCACCATCTTCTTCTATAAATATTTGGACACCAGTTTGTCTTCTGATCTCTTCCTTTGTTCTTCCCTTACGCCCAATGACAAGTCCGACCTTTTCTTTGGGAATTTCTACAATCTCTTCTTCTTGGTCTGACGTTAGAGTAGCCATTGACTTGTCATACCAGTTCTGATCACCTCTAGCTCTTCTTTTTTGATTTCTTCCTCGGAAGCTCGACATGACTGACTGATAAGAGAATAAAGAAGCAAATAAGTCATAAATGAAAAATTAACCAAATCTTCGTGATTTTTGTATATTTTATTGACATTTTCGCATAACCCGGGCATGGTCCTCTACGTACTAAATCAGCCCATTTAAAGTACGAGGAGGTTACTTTCTTGAGAAAGTGCATGTGGTGTTGTGTAGCTGGGGAAGTGAAATAAAAAGATTTAGCCCGCAGTGCAGGCGTTTTCTTCGGGCGCGCAAATGTTTTTGCTCGCGAAAGCGCCTACCCTAAAGGTTCATAAAATCAAAGATGGCGGCTACAACAATACACAAACAAGGTTTCGCCCACCCAAAATACGTCTGCATTGCAAGCTAAAAAAGATTTGGTTTCATTGACAATTATAGGGAGATGGAGAAGCTGACTTTTAGGGCATTTCGAGCGATTCCCTCTGACGAAAGGCTAGCGCTCGAAACAGTCAGCTCTCTTAATAGTTCTCCCTCTCCCTACGGTCGCCAATCTACCTTTTCAACTTAGTTCTATTCAAATCATGCTTCAAAAATCACTCCCTTATTTTTTTTGATAAAACTGCCCTACTAAAAATCAGACTAGTCTGATTAGTCTCTAAATCAGTCTAGAAATTCCGGGAGCAAAGTTGAATGGAAAATTGAACTTCCGGGAAAAAGTTTTCGAAAATATGGGTATACCTCGCGAGATTGTCCTCTTTTTGGGAAATTTTGGAAAATGCTGTTCCATTCACTACTGGAAGTTGCCGAAAACGCAAACCGGACTTTTGGGTTGAATGGAAAGCGCCTCTACTTCCGCGTTCATGTCTGAATACTGACCCAAGTGGGTTCGAGATCACTGCACATGATTCTGAAGCATGCAGAAGTGAAAAATACAAAGCAAGACAAAAACAGGTTCCTAGTCGTGGTTTTCAATGCTTGGGGTTTTCTTTGGTCAGATTTTGTTTTTTCAATTTGCTAACTTCAACTTATGAGCCGCCAACGAAAACAATCACATCATCGTCCCATGAAGTCACGCAATCTCCAGACATGTATGTTTTGGGGGAAAGAGAACGAACGCAACTGATTCCTCGATAACTTTCCTTTCCCTAGTTGTAAAAATTAGCTCACTTCTTGCGACTCTCTGTTTTGGTGTTATTTACCTAGTAACAAATAATCATACCTTCACGAATAGGACTTCTTCCCCAGTACCTTGATTTTGGAAGATTGGAACGAGGCAAATACTCCCTTCTCTACCCCGGCAAGACGGAGATATTTCTCGTTTTCAAAATGGATGCTGAGACAGATTTGACGTAGTTTTACCGTCTTGCGAAATTTGTGGCCATTTTAGGCCTTTTTTTAGACCTTTTCTGGTCGATTTTTCAACAGGAAAGACTTCCTCTGTTTGCTGGAGGAATGAGTGAGTTGTTGTGGGTTAAAAGATTCTAGGAAATGACGTTTGTGGCTTTAATCTTTCTCGGAAAGATGGTTTTGTTTGCGCCGAGCCAGAGAGGAGACGGGGGCAAACTGCAGGAAGTATTTTGCACTTGCTTTGTGTGACTGTTAGTTTTATTTTTCAAAATGATACAGATTTAGAGGAACGATAAGTTTTAACAATTTGAGAACTTCAACTTCGAGAAATCTAGTACATCAACGATAATGTTAGTGTTACATTTATGGAATATCACCCACCCCTCCCCAATCAAAAGTTTCATTTAAGGTTATGAAATTTATTGTTTTGTAATTATACTAGCTGAGAACAGCTCGTGAAATGGCTTCAGAAGAGGTCAAGAACCTCGTGAAATATTTGAAAGAATTGGGTATTTGCAACAATCCTTTTCTTTCTGGCACTTTGGAGAAAAATTTCCAGGACTTTTTGACAGTTGTGAGGGTTCCAGTAGGATTTACAGATGACTACAAACTGGAGCCACATCACACAACATATAAATTCCGCCACAAATTGGTCAAAACGTTTATTGATAAAAAAAAATATGAAGACTTTCGCCTAACAGACAATTCGCACTCCAACCAGTTCTTTGATGAACTCAAACAGTTTGCAGAATTATCAGAGACTGAGGGAAGTTTTTCTGATTTTGATCTTGAGCAAACAGGTAGACTGCAGAAAATCGATTTGTTTGAGGAAAATGTAAAAGTTCAAGGTGTCGTGGTATGCAAATTTAGTAAAAAAGCAAAGGTGTGTGTTTTAATAAAAAGGAAAGATCTCTGCAGAGGACAAACAGGCAGTTTCTCGCTGTCTGAAGTTTTTGTGGATCTTTGTGAGGAAGATGACACTGGTCATGAAGGATTTCATCTTAAACTGGCTGTGGGAGACATTGTAGAAGTAACAAAGTGTCGGAGAAAGGAGGGAACTGCATTGGAACCAGAGATAGTGAAGTAGGTCAATCAATTTTTGAAGCATGCGGGATTAGGAAAGTTCATTTAATATGACAAGGGGGGGATGAAGATATTGAGGGGGGCTCCGAAAATTTTTTAGACACCGAAGGGGCTCTGAAAAATTGTTGCGCTAGGAGGGGGGGTCAAAATTTGTATACTTCAAAACTAAGACATGACATCATCATACAGATCGGATGGTTTTCAACTCAACAATTTAATGACCAGTGCAACTCAGCTATATCACGTGGTTTACAGATATAACAAATGTAGTCTCAGTAATTATTACACTCTTGTTCATCCCAAAAATGCTTTAGAAAATTGTAACACAACTGTATCTCAAGTTTGTCATAGTATAAACCATTGAAGACAATAACGGTAAATATATTTAATACAGTCTAGCGATCTTTTTTCAGGGGAGCAAAGGAATTGAAGGAGGAGGGGGGGGCTCTGAAATTTTTTCGACTACCAAGGAGGGGGCTCCTAAAAAATTGAACCGCTAGCGAGGGGGGCTGCTAAAATTTCAAGCTTCGAGTTTCAATATCTTCATCCCCCCCTTGTCATATTAAATGAACTTTCCCTTATATAGACAGAAATTCTCACATAAGACAAAGCATTGCATGTAATATCTGCCAAGGGTGCTATGGCAGTGGAGATATGGGTCAGATCCTGGAAGGGTATTTCTGCTGTGATCTGAAATTTGAGCACTGAAAGTAAAAGTATTGGATTCAGGAAGCATCAACAAGATACGCCATTGGACTGCTTCCACAAAACAGGACTCGGCAAAATTTGGGCACGGGAGCTGGATCGGGAAAGAAAACAATATTGGAAAAAGCAATGACAGGAGTTTGAGATGGTGGATTTGATCTTGTGAAAAAGGGGCTGAAATGCAAGATCAAACACCCCACCAACACCCCCTCCCCTGTCTTTCTACACCCTTCTGGGCATCTGTTTTTGCTCATCCCTGAAAATTTTAAAACACAGGGAAGAAGCCTTTGCAACTAGCTTTTTTTCATATCAGCATAAATGCTTGAAGACTAGTTAACATCAAAGATAAAATCAATGGTGCTGCAGTTTATGTTGGAAGCTCACTGACAGTGCTCAGTTCTTTGTTCATAAATTGTGAATGATTATATAAATTTATGTGATGGTAAAATATGAGATCAACATGATAGGAATACTCTCAAACATTCTGCACCATCAGGTCCACAAAAACATATACAGCTGTAAAAAATGATTAAACCATTTATTTTTTATTTTTCCCATATCTTGCAAAGGTGTTATTCATTAAGTGACACTCAAATTGAGGTATTTCTGAGGCATTTGTCAAACTTTGCAAAAGACAGTGGTTCATCTGCAACTAGGATTGAAATCACAAGGTATTTATATTACATACCGGTAATATAATTTCATTAATCCTATCCACAACTGAAACAAGTGGACCAACCTGTGTGTGACCATAATACTTGTACCTCTTGTGACATTTATATATATTTAACACTCTAACAAGGGTTTTGATAGATGTAAAACATGTGGAGGACAAAGAAATATCTTGAAGCATACTTAACTACGATAATGATACAAGGGGATTGGCTGTCCAAAAAAAATAAATAATAATAATAATAACAATAAAATTAATAATGATTTATACTAATCGTGTAGCCTCAAGATAAATAATATTAAGAGATGCAATAATGTACCAGAATTGAATTTTATCATCTGAAAGGTTTGGTCATTCAATGTACCAGCTCTATCAATACACCATATACTGATTTACTAAGCTAGCTATTGTAAGTGCAGGGCATTAAGTCTTCTGTATGGCCTGCTTCTGCTGTTTTTAATTCAATCCAGCTATATAGAGGTATTACGTACATCTAAGTAGCCAGTATACTCATGTGTGCAACCAAAGATTCAATAAACTATGAAGTAGATGGCTTAATTGTAATGTTTCCCAGGTAAAAATGTGAGGCGGGATCCCGCCAATCCCACCTGGGATCCCAGGTTAATCCCACCTGGGATCCCAGGTTGATCCCTCCTGGGATCCCACCCGGGATTATGGAACGTCCCGGGAGGCATCCCACCTGGGATCCCAACTAGGATCCCACCAATCCCACCCGGGATCCCGCCTGAAATCCCGGGTGGGATCAAAGATATCCCACCTGTGATATCAGATGGGATATCCTACCTTTCCTGGCAGCATCGAATGCAGGTTGTTAAATTGATGGGATCCTGCTATCCCACCCTGTCATACACAGGAAATTGATATTTATCGTAGAGGGATTTGAAGACATATAACTTCTGCACCATATTTTTAGCTTAATCTGCAAATTTATTAGGAAAATAGAGTTAATATACATGTAAGTCTTGAATAAAATGCAACTTTAATAAGTCTACATATACAATATTCAGTCACTGCAGAACATTCAAATATGTGTCAGTGTCTCCTGAAATTTCTTCATGCACATCATACACAGCCTTTAATTAGAGTTCAAACAGAAATTACATAGAATTGACATAGTCTTTTTTGTAGGTAGGTTTTGATCTGCTCAAGCAAATGTAGTGTTTAAAATACCCTCGTAAAAATCACCAGAATAGTAAAAATAGTATACACATATGAATTAGAATATCTTTTACATTGGTAAGAAATGGGTTTTGACACGAAAAATTGAAAACTATAGCAATATAATACCACGAACACACAACACAAATGCAGTATTTTCATGGAGCAGTTTCATCGAAACCCCAAGTTAAAGTTTGCTTAATTTGCTTATCGTGTAGACTTTTGGCCGATGTCGTGCTCTTCAGTGCCATACACTTTTTTTTTGACTGCAACGAATAAGTATCTGCAAACAGAAAAGTTGAGATTTTAAGGCAAATGAACACAAAAACAACCTGACGTTTTAGAATTGAAACGAACGAGTATCGAAGCGTGATCGAAGGTGACCGATCCAACTTGTTCAGGTACGCGAAAAGGGGAGACAACACGGGTAAATCGAAACTCAAATTGAGAAAAACATCACTTACCAACGTTAGGAATACTTTTTGTTGAACCTGGCCGGAAAACGACTTTAAATTGAAGTAAAAAGAAGCGTCTCCTTGTAAAGACGCATGCTTTACAGTTCGTCTTCTTTGACTTGAAAGTGCCCGCGTGGAATCAGCCAATTTTCACACCTTTTCATTGGTTGAAAAGGCCCATGTGACGATAAAACGCTGAATACGCATGTGTTGAACTCACGGGCTTCCCTGGGAACTAGTGGAAACAAAATGGCTGACAAACACCGAGTACTGCAGCGTTTCGCAGTTTTGACCATGAATTTCTATTCAGGAGTCATCCATAATCAAGACGAAGGATCGAAGCTAATATAAAAGAAGAAAATGATGCATGGAGGTATCATTTCAAGTGAAGAAACTCTAGGGAAAAGCTAGAAAGGAAAGTTAAGTCAGGAATGATGGATGTAGCGATTCATTAATGCTCTACAAAAATCTTCTCACTAAGAAACTATCTGCAAGCACAAAAAAAATTGTAGCAAATGATTTTTAAGTTTTTTAGTTTTAAACACTGCTTTTTACGTTGGAAGTATGCTTTTTGTGTGTTTGTATAAAATAAATATTGTTTTGTTGAAAGTTATTTTTACATGTATGTACAGGACAATTTATGAACGATGGTGTCATTTTCTGCTTATAAAAAAACATTTGTAATTTAATACAATAAGTTGTCCTTTGAAATTAAATTGGGTACAGGAAGACGATAAATTCCAGCCGTATTTTTAACTCCACATGCAGAAATGTAGAATAATAAGTTAATTAGACTGCTTACTAAGATATGTTTAACACAGAATTATATATAACCTATATGGCTGTTAAAAGTCTTCTTAATTAAGTTTGACTTAACTTTTGCAAGTATGAATAAATCTTCTAAAACCCCAGGTGGGATCGTACATGTGAAATTACCCCAATGTTCCCAGGTGGGATGTATGTAAAGATCCTGGGTGACAATGTGTGATCCTGGGTGGGATATGTGAATCCCACCCAGGATCCCGGGTGGGATGTGTGGATCCCACCCAGGATCCCAGGTGGGATGCGATAATCCCGTGTTTTAGGCGGGATCCCAGGTGGGATTAATTTTTAATCCCAGGTGGGAATGGCGGGATCCCGCCATTAGAGGCGGGATTCCGCTAATCCCACCCGGGATCCCAGGTGGGATTAGCGGGATCCCGCCGGGATCCCGCCTGACTTTTTACCTGGGTTGAAACAGCCTTGATGTTTCCTCTTTTAAGGTTCTCTGCAGCCTGGGAATACATCCTTAATCTTTCCAAGGAGAAATACACAGACAAGATGATCGTTCAGATTTTTGAAATCATTAACAAGATTTCCACAGTTGTCCCTATGTCACCTACAGTGAGTGCAATAGTTCAGGAATTTCAGCAGAGTATACTGTTTGGTTCAGTCGTTCCTGGTTACATAAATAAAGTGACTGGGAAAACAAGCCATCTCAGGTATTTTTTTATGATTTTATATTAATTTATGGTAAATGCACTTTAACATTCCCGTGAAAAGGGTAAAAGGTGGATATTTCTGTAAAGGACATCCAAACACTGAAAGAAATATATATCGAATACAGTCGAAGCTCTCGTGAGCCACTACCTTGGAACTTTGAAAAAGTTGTTGTAACTATAGAGCTGGTCGCTTACGAGAATGAGCTCTCATAAGCAACCGCATGACAAAACAATAGAGGGTGGTCGCTTACAAACACTTCAGAAACTCATTAATAATTCATAATGGGAAAAAAGAAATTAATGTTTAATGAGTGTCTTTATATTCAATATAGACAGCCTAAACTTTACGTCCAGTTTTTTAATTCTAAAATAACCCCAAGATCTTTATCAACGAGCCGTTAGCGTAGTGTGCAGTTTCATTGAAGTGTTGATTTACATGAATAAGACTCTGAGTGGTCACTTACAAGAGCTTAAAAAACAAAGAAAATGCCCAGTTGGGTTATCCCAAGAGAGGCCACGGTTGCTTACGGGTGCAGTCGCTCATGAGAGCTTTTCTTTTCAAAGTTTAAGTTACAGTTCAAACAGGGTTTGATAAAGGTGGTCGTAACTAAAGCTGGTCGCCTGCAAGACAGGTCGCAAGGAGTCAGCTTCAACTGTATAATTTTTTCTTTTATATTAACTGCTATTCTATATGTTTTTAAACAGTATGGTTCAGCAGATCTTGGAACATGTCATCACTGCTGTTCCTGCCTCGGGTTTACAGGTGTTGCCCATGGCAACAGACCTTGCTCATAATTTAGTCAAGGGCTCCGGCTCCAGTGAACGTGAAGCAAAGGAGAGTGGACATTCAGCCATAGCATTCCTTTCAAAGATGTGTTCAATAATTGCTTCAGAAGTACCTGGGGCTCAAAAAGATGTTGATAAGTTACCATGGAAGGAACTGTCCTTAATACCAGTCACGGAGGAGATATTCAGACCAAGTAAGTATACTCACACTTTAGGATCCCCAATGGAGCTCTTCAATCTCTTCATCTCACCTTAACTTAATCCATATACCTTTAAAATTTAAAAATGTTCATATTTTTTGTTGGCTATATATGTTTAAACTGTTGCCTTTAACCTGGTCCAATGTTTTTTTCATGCCAGGTTCATTGTAAATTAGTCTTTGTTAATAGTCCATTTCAGAGTATATTACACGACGTTTAGGATAGTGCAGATCACAAATTTATTTTTTTTATTTTTTATTTTCTTAGTGTTCGTGTATCTTGGTGCTTTAGAATGTCATTTGTACCCGCAAAGTCAACTTTTTTTGAGTGTTGAAGTTATTTCTCCTGACTAAAAACGAAAACAATAAAACGGACGTTTTAGCAAGTCTACTCAATTCCTAGATCTTAATTTAACCACAATATAACATTACAATTATAACAATCCCAATTTTGTCCCCCCTTTTTTCTCAATACCTGTAGTTCGGAATTTTTGCCTTCAAAAGAGTCAAATTTTCAAATCCCACTGGGGACCCTCTAGATCAGTGTAGCTGTTGTCTGAAAGTAATAGCTTCCCTTGTAAATTACACTGTCACTTGTAACCGTTTTTTTAAATTGACCTCTGAATCAGGGTCGGATCCAGGATTTTTTTTAGGAGGGGGTGCACTCTTCTCTTGCTCTTCTTCAACACCAATAAACCACATAGTTTGGCAGAATACCAGTTGTATTAGAAAACCGCAGGTCATCTCGGGGGGGTGCACCCCTGCACCCTCCCCCTAGATCCGCCCCTGTGAATGGAGAGATTACTTTGGTCTACATTGTTTGTTTATTAGTAGGCTTGAAGACTAGTGATTTGCCACTGATCCGGGAAAAGGGCAACTATGAATCAGAGGACGATTACTTGAACACCTATTTCAGACTTCTTCGAGAAGAATGCTTTTACAAACTCAGGAAAGGAATCAGTGAGTTCGTTGAGTATGGGCAAGCATCTAGCTCAAAAGACTTGACAATGTACAGGTATGAATGAGACATTTCTTTTTATAAAGTTTGTACATAGGTTATTAATTTACACTTGAAATCTACGGTGTACCATAAAAGTTACAAAATAAAACGTTGCTGCAATTTCCATTGAAACTAATCTATAGGGCATCAATTTAAAACATCGTTTCAGCTGATTACCCTTGCGTTTGATTGCGCACTTGTCAGGACATAAATATAATTTGCTCATAGAGAGACAAACACTCGCGTTCTTAATCACTTCACATATAATGCAGTTGATACTTTGAAAAGTAGCCTGAGCTTTAGGGGCTTCTAGAGCAGCAAAGAAAGGCGTGGCCGTACAGAGGTTAAGTTTACACTGGCTGGAAAGTATTTGGCCACACTTATTTGACTCATACTGACATGTTAATACTGCAATTTTATTTGTATGGTTTAGCTCTTGTCTTCTCTTTCCTTTCTTTTTCCTATGTTTTGGTAGTTTTTTTTTAATGTTACGTTAATATAATGCAATTTTCAGGTGTAAGTATTTAATAAGTACTAACTGGTAACAATTTAAAGGTTGAAAAACCTTGTCCAGAAAAAAGGCTTCACATGCTATTGTGGTGCATGTTTCCATTAGATAACAACGGCTTGTTATAATAAGAAATAAATTATCTGATATAAAAGCGTGTTTTGTGAATTTCCGAGAAGGATTCGGGGTTTTGTGAAAACGGCGTCGTCGTTGAAATTTTAGAGAAAATCCGAGCGATTGCGACTTTCACTTCGCCACTCTGTGTTTGAGGGTCAAATGCAGTAGATGTTAACTTCATTACCTCTCTTTCAGGGTTTCTCTTCGAGGATGTTCTACCCGCCATGAAAATTCTCCAACTGTTATGCTAATTACTCTGGAGTATGAACTGCCAGATTCACAAGAAGGTCGTGAGAGCGAGTAAGTTGATTAAAACAAAATATATAACTATTTTTTCCAAATTATCGGTAAACAGTGCCTTGTATTATGTAACCTTCAGCAATATTTTATAGGTTTAAGTTCAGAATACATCTTTGGCAATCCAAAACAACTCTTTATCGCCGGCACACCGTCACCTCGAAAGTTGTGGGCGCGGCCCTTTATACCTCTTGATTCTCTGTTTGCCCTGTATGTATACCTTTCCGCACAACACCTATTATTGGACATCTCCATACCCCGTCATGGTGCAGTAATTTTTCGATCTCGCGTTTTTTGTTATCTACTTAGGAACGTAGAATGGCTCATGCATGGCAGTCTCTTGTGTATTTCATTGGATGGCTTTTTTGAAGAACCTGTTTGGGCTGTGGTAGAGAAACACTTTGCCGATGAGAGGTTTGTTACTAAGCGTGGAGAATTTTTTTAGAAACAATTGTATCTTCTAACCCCTCGTGTGCTTTGCGAGGTCAATCAATTATTTTATAATAAAGTAATGAGTGGATATATAATAACAACAATAAAAAAAACAGAAAGAAAGAATAGATTTTAAAAAGGGGAACATCTCTTTCTACCCTGCTAGCGGTCAGTGGTTTGTTTCCGGCATAGTTTTTAACCTGTACAAAGTTGTTCGCGCCGGGGTACCTCGTTTTCCTGTGTTAAGGTTGGAATCACAGGAAAAAATAACAGATTCCCATTTTTGGATATTTTAGGGTATTTAAAGAATACCCACAAAATCCCCAAATTTGGAAGAGTGAGACAAGTCCCAATCGGGGAACTTGGTTGGGAATTCCCTGGTTGGGGCTTGTCTCACTTTGCCAAATTTGGGATTTTTATGGGTATTCTTTAAATACCCTAAAATATCCAAAAATGGGAATCTGTTAGTTTTTCCTGTGAATATACAGTTATGTGCGAAAATGATTTAAAGTGGGAAATTCGCCCAACTTTGATTATTGTTTTCACCAAACTTAGGCGAGAATTAGCAAAAGGACTTTACCAGCTGAAAGATTCGTGAATCGATAATTTATAGAATTTTAAGGATTTTTCAGAAACTAAATTGCAGCAATCGGTGTGGCGATTCGTCAGACCGAATTCTCTTTAGTTTAAAGGCAGGCGTTGAAATGTTGCAAAAATGTTGCAACCATTCAAAACAATGTCGCATCAATGTTGTAATATTGTCACTTAAAATGGTCGTTGCGAATCGTCCCGTGTAACATCACCTTACCTTATTATAGGAAATTAACGCTCCATGAAATTAACGCGAATCGTTAAAATCCGCGTTAATTTAAGTGGCGTTAATTTTGTTGAGCGTTAATTTCCGCGACGTTAATTAAGTGCAGCGTTAATTTCTGCGCTCTTAATTTCCAGTATTTTAACCCCAATTTTGGAACCTGTCCAGACATTCTTGACCCCTAAAAAACATTAACTACAAGCTTTCTTTCTTTCCATTTACCCTTATTTTTCATCTTTCACAAAAGCTAAGGCGAAGATTTACAATACTTCGAGTCCATCTTCATCGTTGTCGCCGTCAGAAGTGATGTCAATATCTTCTCCTTTGATTTCGGCCAAGATAATCGCGTTAATTTCCTTTTTATGAAATTCTACCTCCTCTTTCGCGTTAATTTTCTTTATTCGAAAGTCGCTTTCCATTAAATTCGCGTTAATTTAAGTCGCGTTAATTTCCAATACCTTAATTTTATGAAACGTTAATTTCCTATAATAAGGTAAGTTCACCAGACATCAAGCAAAGCTGACCAAATGTCCGAGACACTTGACCAGCCCCACGGAAAAAGGGTGGTGAACTACATTAGTGGTGAAAATATATTAAATTTAACTAACATGCGAGGTTCCCGCTGCCGAATACCGTTTACTTCAAAGAAAAAAATGAATAAAGCATTTGAATGTTTCTCAGAGGCAATGAGTGCATGCCTTTCACTGTGCGAGTCTAATGAATTTCTGTCATTTATTTCAGGCTTGTAGGAATAACCCTTTGCGAAAAGGGAAATACAATGTCCGAGCCACACTTTATTGCAAAGATGCAGGAACTTACGAACAAAAGTAAGGTTATGTTTATGACGTCGATTGTACACCTGTGAATAGAGAAAGTTTTTTTGAAAAACAGGGACGTTAATATACGTGGAATTGGAATCTTTTTCTAGTCACCATTTAGCCTAACTTATGCCATGTGGGGTTGTTTGGCGGTTCTTGTCTTTTCATAGGGTATTCTTCTCAACCTACGTCAGTTTTCCTCTCTCTGTCAAATATTCAACAGAAATCATTTAACTTTTGACATGTGTGTTTGCGTTCTAGAAATCAGAGCATTCATGGCTGAAAGTCAAACCTTTTATGTCTCATATGCTCCAGCCATGGAAATTCTCCAACACAGAGGTATTACAACTTACAGTTAGCAACATAATGTATCAATAATAAGCCTTCCGCATAAGGATACACTGAAATTCGCGGGAAACAAAATGAACTGTTTCCCTTGAGACCAGTCATTGAGTGTTTTGTAAAATATAGCCTAAGAAAGAAACTTTTGTCTACAAATTTATGAGAGTAAATCTCAAAGAGGCCAATATTCGTGGGTGACATTTCTTCGGTACCCTTTGACGTCATAGATGTTACAGTTACCGTGGTACCCGCCCAGAGATTTTTAGCGGGAAAGAGTTTTATTGTTCGATGCCATGTGACCTTGCCATTGCTTTCTTTCCTTTGCTGCCCTTATGACTGGTTGCAAAAAATATCTTGCGCCTTTCGTTTCCAACCAAATGCAATCTGAAATGAAACCAAGACTTATTGTGACTTGCTCGCGTAATTTGCAGCCAGATGTTTTAAGAATGCAGAGGGCTCTCAAAGGTTCATTGTAACTGTGATATGACACGCTTTCTGATCATTCTCAGACCTATTACTTGTTGGACCGGTGACCTCATGAAAAAGTTATGATACTTTGAAGAGGTTTTTTGATAAGAGTAGATAGAACTTTAAAAGAAAAACGAGAAGAAAAAGGAAAATATTACTGGTTTACTGGCGTAATGATCCCATTTGTGATGGTAGATAAATTCTCTCGAGCTGTAAGTAGATCAGCTTGATTTTAGGAAGTCAGGCCGTTTCAACTTTGATACTTAATTGTGCTCCCAGTTTGCGAGCAATTTGCTCTGCTTTTCGCTTCTATCGTTTGTTAATTGAAGTTGCTCTTATTAAGCACATTTTGAAAGGTTCATAAATCAATCATCCTGAAAAACCCTACGAATTTTTTCCGTGTTTTTTTTTTTTCAGACCATGTTCCATTCAAGGAATTCCTGGTTTATCCAGACTCAAGACAGCAAGTGGACCCTCCAGATTACATCGGCAAAATTAAACATCCTCCAAACTGGGGAATTATCTACAAAAAGGAAGCGCTTGCAAAGTTTAGTCGCGAAGATGTGTCTCCTTCAAATTACAGTCTCATTAAGGATTTTGCAGATCTGCGGCTGAATATAAATTCTAGCGAAGCCAAGCCTGATGAAACTCAGCTGGCCGCAATTGCGATGGCTCTAGAACATAGAGTGATTTTGATTCAGGTAGTTGTGGTTTTCAGGATTCTATTTTAACGTTTGTAGTAGTGGAGGGCCCTAGGCTTGCGTGCCTTAACATTTTCATTGTCTTTGCGGTTTTTGTGGCGTTAGGTCCCAATTACGGTGAACTTTATGCCAAAATCACAGCTTCGTGTCAAATATGTCTCTAATGAATATTTTCTAAACGCTTCAAACGACAGAAATTAACTTTGAAGAACGTTTAGGCCAACCAGTATTCATACACCACAATTGAATTCTTTTCATTCTCCTTCAAGTTCGTCCATCCGTGCCTCCCTTTTTGGGTTGAGTGGTTATTTCCATTGTTCTTCAATTTGATGGCAGCTCCCACTCTTTGAATTTTGATAAATTTCGTGACGCAGCTCTTTTAGGATGATACAAATTAAATTGAAATGATCGACATTGTCATGCAATGTTCACAGGGACCGCCAGGAACTGGAAAGTCTTTTGTGGGTGTGACCTTAGTTCAGCTTCTTTTGTCTATGAACGTACCTCAAGACCATGGACCCATCTTGGTAAGATGATTTGTATAACCGAATTTCAATACCCGATAAAAGTACTGGATATATTCTAAGGGGTTGTACTTACGAAGTTCGTTTAGGTATTTCTTATTTTTCCATCATCACAGTATTTCTTAGAGCATGACCGCTTGCCGGAGCGCACCACATAAGAGGGTTTATAAGACGCTGAGTTTACAAACTAGTAATAACCAAAGGTTACGGAGCGCGGGCGACAACGATCGAAAGTCAAAACGCTTTTGCTCCATCGCTGTGCTTTGCCCAAGTTTCACGTGACAGATAGTCAAAACATGCGTGATCAGATCACGAGTGATAGAGGGTCCAAACGCGCGTGATCAAAATGCGTTCTCTGCATTCCATTCATTCTTAGTGGAAGTCCAAACGAATGCTGGCTACATACATGCGACGCATGCGTAATAACAACCTCGAGATTAGGATTGCACTCTCCTCTTGTCGCCCGCAATAACGTTATTTCCCGCAATGAGCATAACGGCCAATTGCTCGCATTGAGAAGTTTGTTGTCAAAGTCGTCTATTTGAATTAAAAGCGAAATCAAAAATGGTGTAACATATGTTTGAGCTTGGAAAGAGCATAACATTTAAATGTGCGACAAATTATATGACGAAATTTTGTATTTGGACTTTTTCATATTTTACTCATGCGTCGCTTATCTTGATTAAGAGTGCGTTGGAGATTTATTCGGCGTTTCAGGTATTTGTGGTTTGGTGAGACCCTAGTCTACGTTTTCCATCCACTTCGTCTCCTTTTTGCTGCCAGTATGAAATATTTTATTTAATTGTTAACGCTATTTCTGTTTGCTTAATTATAGGTTGTGACCTATAAGAATCATGCTTTAGACAATTTTTTGAAAGAATGTCTTAGACAAGTTTCTTCGCCTGATCTGAAGATTGTGCGTGTTGGAAGGTGGAGTGAAGAGGCTGGAGACGAACTGAAGAAGTGTTTGTTGAGAGAGGTTTGTTCAAATTAGTTTTTTTTTCATGCCTGATATATCTTATTTAAAATGTAAAAGAAGTCAAGGTTCCCGTATAGATGAAAAAACGGATGAGAGACAACCTGGGTACACGTTACACTTCTAAGGTGTTGAACTCTGCATGTTGTGAACTTTTAGGCACGGAAAGGTTTTACGAGACTTTGAATAACTGAAAGCGTTCTTGCGTGATAACTAAAGTGAGACTAGAATAGGCCATTTTACAGTTATGGATGGAAGCGAGGCTGAGGGTGAGCTTGTTTTGATACAAACCTTCCTGCTTTATTATGTAAATCAAGTTATTCTTATGCTCACTAGTATTTTTCAAGAACAATTTCCATAACAAAGCAAAGAAGGTTTGTATCAAAACAAGGTCACCCTCACCCTCGCTTCCATCCATAACTGTAAAATGGCCTATTATGGCTGCTTAGTTACATTCTATAAAACGAGATGGACAGAAGACAACCTTGTACTTCTAGAAAGGTTTGACACACAAAACAGGGTAGCATTCTTTAACTCCTACTTTTTTGTTTTCACGTCGTACGCAAGAGGGTATACCAAGATGTGAATCGTAAACCAGTGCTTTACAACCAAAAGAGAAAGGTACTTGGACAAATATGGGCATTGCAACCTAAAGTCAGGGAGGCGTTTGAGAAACTCAGAACTTCCAGTCGCTTCAGTGCAGACATGTTCTTAAAGGTAAGAAGTGACGAGACTACAACAAGGTGAGATGGATTCCCTTCAGGCAAGTTGTTGTTGAAGTTTACTAGCCCAGGGAAGTCATTCAGGCCTTTCAAGCCTTTCACTAACGGACAACTTATAATTAACACATGCTAGTATGACGAGGCACTCTTTATCTGTTATCCGACAGCACTTTTGTCGTGCTCTGCTAAGGCAGTTTAGGAAAAAGGAACGCTAAAGTAGCTCTTATACATGTGATCTATTAGCCTGCGAAAACAGCCGTTTCCCTCGCTCTTCGCTGCTGGGAACGTTTCGCGGGGAGGAACGTCTGCGACTCAGAGACAGAAATTCCATACTGATGACGTAAAATCTGTCTGGAATCCGGTCAGAAGCGCTGATTGGTCGACGGAGTAGTTACATTGTTTTAGCTATTGTCTACGAATGACAGAAAAAAGATAAAAGGCCACAAGGTTAAATGTAAAGGCGATGAATCTTTAACAAAACAGTCAATATTTGTGGAATATATTCTTCTCTAGAAGAAGCATTTGAGTTTTGCTGGAGCTCGTTCGCAGGTGAACACAACACTTTACCAAAATCGACCAGAAGAAACGTAAAATTGAACAAATTTGCTTTTGGAATCCATTTGGACGTTCCTCCGAGCGAATCGTCCCCAACGGCGAAGAAAGAGGAGAAACGGCTGTTTTCGCAAACTAGTGATTTATTCACCCTTTTGTGTTCAACTCTACCATCGGCTATATTTCTAGCTTACAATTGATGTGCTTGGCCAGTTAGCGTTATTATTTCATTTGGATAGAGCATTGCGTCAGTTCACCGCAAAGGTTAGAGTTTGAATCACGCTCACCTTGTAAGAGTCTCAGAGGAGTGTCTGAGTTTTTACCTTACGTTCTACAAGAATTCGTAGATCTTCCTTTAACAGTTGTTTTGTAGAGGAAGGGTTTTTAAGTGGCGGGTGAATCTTACAGAGGGATTTTCTTTATAGAGAGCTGTCGGCGTTCAAAGAGTTAACCGTTTATATAATATGCCTGCAAAAAATATTTCACATGTTGTTGGTTATTTTTTGTCAATTTATAAGAACACTTATATTGTGTTATATGTAACACATACCTTGTTCTTGGAGGTAAGAACATTCAATCAATTTTTATTCTAAAGGAAGCGTCAGAAGAGCACCTGAAGTCCCTTGTGGTTGGCAGCAAACAAGGGAAAATCACAGACGAAGAATTGGAGAAATTAATTAGCAAACAGTCCATTTCTAAAAATCAAGCAAAACTGAAAGGTAGGCGTGAAAAGCTTTTGCCTTCGATTTTTCTTTTTCTGAAGACCCATAGCGTTAATCATTGAGCAAGGGAACCGATGCCTTTGGTACAAGGTTAAGACATCCATTCAATGCGCCAATTGCGAGCTGCCTTAAGCCTCTGTTTCAAAACGAGGCTAAGTGCGAAGCCATTGATATGAAAATGAATCTTATTCTCATTCAAATTAAACTAATATTCACAAGTAAGGTTTTGCACTAAGCTTCGTTTTAAAAGTGAGAGTTTTTCGAACTCGAGAATGGCCAGTTATTCTAACTGTTACGAGGAAGACTTCATTTAAGGTTAGGATATCGTTCTTGCTTTTTTAGAACAGTGTTACGTCATTTGCCAAATTTAGTTCAAGAAAAACTATAAGGTTTGCGATGTACTGCAGTTTGAATGAAGATTTGTGAAAGCGGACATAAAATGAATGGCATAAAAAGCATGATATAAAAGGTATCATGCTCTAATGAAACTTTCACATGTATGGTGACATGTATATATTTCATCTTTTAACTTTGGATCTCTCCAGATAAAATTACTGCTTGGATCAAGCGACGTTTTAAGGTGTTTCACAACCAATGTTGGTGCCACTTTCCCACTAAGTAAACATTTAGAGCAATCTCAGCCTGCCTAAAATGCTTTCAAAACTATTATGAATTCACCTTGTAGCTCTGAGCAGCCTAAGCTCCCTCGCCGAACAATTTACTGGTAGTAGTATGTGGCGCACCGATTTAGTCGGCTACTTGCGCAGTATATCATTAATCTGAGTTGGAAGGTGATTACCGCTAATGTATTCTCTCTTAACCTTTTTTGATTTCGAAAAAAGTCGTTTATGATAATGGAGAGTGATTGTCATTGTTAAAAAAAGCCGCGCGTAGGTATTTAGGATTTGGCTTTTGGAAATCAGTAGCCTCCCACGCAGACGTTCTTAGGGGTTCGTCACGCGTTCCTGCCCCACGAACGTCTGCTGAACCGAAAGATAAATTCCTTTCCCATTGTTCGCAAATATCAGCTGGAGATCACATGCAGATTATCGGAGATCTAATCGGCACTGTTGAAGTCAAAGTGTTGACAAGCCAAACACATACGCACAAGCTCTGTAGAGTGTGATACGTGACCAAAGAGTTTTGCTTCAGACAAGAACTTAGGAGATAATCGATGGGTTGTTGTATATTTCTCTCTGTAAAGGCTGGATTAGATGTCGTTTACTCATAAACTTGTTCTTTGGGTGATGCAACGGCGGGGTTACCTGGTAAGACTGAACAAAAGGCCAATTTTTTTTTTTTCACACGTCATTCATGGTTATTGTTTTGTAGTAAAGCCGACTTCCGTTCAGCAAATTTAACCTCCGATCTAATTTTTTACAATGAGATTGTGAGGGTAGCCACTAGTAATAACGCTTGTGAGTTAACGGAGTAATTTGTTCTAAAACTGTAAGGTCTCCACCTTTCAAGAGACCTTTCTGATCTTTTCTGGAGCTATAAAGTCAAGCGCGAAATTTCTCAGGGTCCAAAGTGCACTTCTCAGATCTGGAAGTCTGCTGTGATTGGTCTACGTTTTTTTCCGCTCAAGTCAGCAGACGTTCGTGGAGCAGGAACGCGTGACGAACCCCTAAGATCGTCTGCGTCGGAGGCTATCAAGAAAGAAGTTTCATCAGCGCTACTTAAGGTGACTCGACCCAGTTTTTTTGGGGGGGGTACCATCCTACTTTGAAGCTCTCTGGTATCCCCACCTTTACTTTTATCGTAAGTCTGACACATAGAATGGATAACATATAGATCAATCTGCAATATAACATAAAATTTTTGGCGATCGGAGTAAATGTCACGTGGTTATAATGCCACGCCCCTTTGAGGTCTGAGTCGAAAATCGGCTGTTGCCGGCATTTTTTTGTGAAAATCTCTCGGCTACACATAGTGCGCATTAGTGCCTTGCGCTGAACAGAGTTTCACCAAAATCGCAAAGACCCAATTCGAGAAATTCAGCGGTTTCCAAATTAAGGTCATAATTTATGCGAAAATGATAAGCAAACTTTACACGGATTATATCTAATAAACCAAGAGATTCATCCCTTTATTTTGGGCATCGTTATAACAGATGGGTCCTTGCAAGTCAGCAAAACGCTTTAGGGCCTTGTAAATGCGCGCGATTTCGAGCAAAGCAAACATATAGAAATTATAGTTTTCGCTATTTGTTGACGTTTGTCGGCGTTTAAGAGTCAATCTCACGAAAAAAGCATTTTCTTAAAAATTCGTAGTTTTTTTTCCTTCAAATTTTTTCAGGGACACAACTGATTAACTAACTACCCGGACTCTGAATTTCATGGTCATTGAAAAACTGTGACATTATCTTCTATAAGCTCAAACTTGAGTAAACATTGAAGATTTTTAGCGTTTTGGCTGAGTTTGTGCTTTGGGAGTTGTCTATTGTTTCTAGTCTGTCATTATACAGCATTCTTGTTCAGCACGCGTGCAATGACCACGCTTGGCTGACTTCCGAATGCTCACCGAGATATTCCCGTCACGAGTTGGTTTAATTATTGGCTTGCATTAAAACCTATGAAAAAATGATATTTTTGCAATAGTAAGTAGACTTAATGTGTAGCACTTCTTGATTTTTTTGCAAAGTCACAAGAAGCATGAGAATTGATTAAAAATTGTTAATTAAACCTCTATGTATCACGCGATGGCCTGTCTCGCTGTACCAAATTTATAATATCTCGGTGAGCACTCGGAAGTCAGCCAAGCGCGGTCATTGCACGCGTGCTGAACAAGAATGCTGTATAATGACAGACTAGAAACAATAGACAACTCCCAAAGCACAAACTCAGCCAAAACACTAAAAATCTTCAGTGTTTACTCAAGTTTGGGCTTATAGAAGATAATGTCACAGTTTTTCAATGACCATGAAATTCAGAGTCCGGGTAGTTAGTTAATCAATTGTGGCCCTGAAAAAATTTGAAGGAAAAAAAACTACGAATTTTTAAGAAAATGCTTTTTTCGTGAGATTGACTCTTAAACGCCGACAAACGTCAACAAATAGCGAAAACTATAATTTCTATATGTTTGCTTTGCTCGAAATCGCGCGCATTTACAAGGCCCTAAAGCGTTTTGCTGACTTGCAAGGACCCATCTGTTATAAGGATACCCAAAATACAGAGATCAATCTCATAGTTTATTAGATATAATCCGTGTAAAGTTTGCTTATCATTTTCGCATAAATTATGACCTTAATTTGGAAACCGCTGAATTTCTCGAATTGGGTCTTTGCGATTTTGGTGAAACACTGTTCAGCGCAAGGCACTAATGCGCACTATGTGTAGCCGAGAGATTTTTACGAAGAAATGCTGGCAACAGCAGATTTTCGACTCAGACCTCAAAGGGGCGTGGCATTATAACCACGTGACATTTACTCCGATCGCCAAAAATTTTATGTTATATTGTAGATTGATCTATATGTTATCCATTCTATGTGTTATACTTACGATAAAAGTAAAGGTGGGGATACTAGAGAGCTTCAAAGTAGGATGGTACCCCCTAAAAAAAACTGGGTCGAGTCACCTTAACCAATTTGAGCCCTTTCTTTTCTTAGTCTGACCTTTTCAACGTCTACTCGCACTCAAATTTGCCGCTTCGCTGATAATTTATGGTTAATGATGTCCACGCATTCTCCGAGATGATACTAAAATCTTGTTCTCTAGAAAGTTATCTGGCACATATACATTTTTTGTACGGCAGAACTCGTGGAAAATGCATTGGTAGACTGGCTTCCTGGTCAAAAGTTGTTCGATCGTTTTTCTGGTGAAAAGAAAAAAGCAGCGCAAGGAAATCGGTAAGTTTTTAAACATTGGTTTGGAGTATTGATATGTGTAGTCTTTTGGTCTGCCTGTGATTTTCTGCGGGGGAATATGAAAGTGAATGCGAAAGCGGCAAGTGTTTTCATCGCATGTATACTGTCTGTCTGAAAGAACGGAAAATCGTAATAAAATTGCCTTTAAAATCGCTTGTGAGAACGGGCCTTAAGTAGTATTTAAAGGGGCTGTCACGCCTCTTGCCATCTTTTTAAAAAAAGATCAAAAAAGTAAAACCTGTCTCCGCGTTAACTGAATTCCAGTAATAGTGGTCCAGGTTTGTTATTTAAGACTGCATTTAGGCATTGAAATAGTTTCCTGTCGTCTTTTGCCATGATGGACATAGATTGAAACTTGAAACCATCGGCTCCGTTTTTTTTTTCGAATCTTGAGTTTTCTTCGAGTCATGAAATGCCCGCAAGAATCACCAAAACTATGTTAATTATAGTTGGTGCTTCCTGATGAAGTTTTTCTAACATCGTCTTTATAACTTAACAAAAGCATTTTGTGTGTGGGTAAAGACACAAAAATGATTTCCAGCTTTGCAAAGGTGTTCTTTTTGGATTACTTAAGGTTTCTGGGAAACTGCCCACCCATCCCTCCCCTAAGCCAACATTTTGCTCTAAACAAGGACTAAGTGTTAATGTTGGCTTAGGGGAGGGGTAGGTGGGTAGTTTCCCAGAAACCTAAATTGATCCTTGGATCACTTAAGGTTTCTGGGAAACTGCCCACCTACCCCTCCCCTAAGCCAATATTTTGCCCGAAACGAGGAGTAAGTGTTAATGTTGGCTTAGGGGAGGGGTAGGTGGGCAGTTTCCCAGGATCAATTTAGGTTTCTGGGAAACTCAGTCTTTTTTCGTCAATTTTAGACCGGCGGAAAGTGATCAACTAAAGACAAAAGAAGAGCAAGACCAGCAGGAGAATCCCAATGATGCGAGAGACCCTTCTGTAGAGCAGAGGGAGCGACTTCTTGCATTAGATGAAGAAATCGCTGATGAAGAGGATCAAAGCATCGCGAAAGAGGAAGAAACTTCGTGTAAATCTCAAGCCCCTCTTTCTGTTCAGTGCTTGCGCAGCCTCGTTTGCTTAGATGACGCTGGTAAAGTATTCTCATGTTATGTTTGAGGGCTGGTTTCTTTGGCTATTCGTAGTCTAATGAAATGCCAGCAAATAGAGCGGTTTCATTCACGTATCGAGCAGCTATTCAAATTTTTCTCGAAGATAAGAAATTTTTTGCATGAGAAAAAGGCTCACCTCCCACGGGATTGGTTTGGAACACCAACATGGCCGCCGTTTCATTGTTTTGGAACACCAATATGGCGGACGTGACGTCATGTGAAAACCTTCCATAGCCTTTTTTCGCTAAAGATATTCATAATGTAGAGAGAACCTCTTTGCATTGGCGTAGATGGGAGCTGAGTGATGTCACAAAGAAAAGCGTGAAATCCCGCATATTAAGCTCCCCGGGCTGTAAGCCCCGATTATGAACCTATCTAGCCTTAAGGCGGGTTCACTGTGACGTCAAATACCGATAGGAACACGAACTGCTTGTTTATTGAGCAACATGAAGTACACATGAGATTCGCATATAAAACGATTTTATTTCTGATTCTTAGACATTTCTTTTTTTCAGAGCTGAGGCCTTATGAAGATATTTTGAATGAAAGCAAAATTTGGGAACTTGAAGAACACAGAAGAGTACAATTTGTTTACGTTCTTCAAAGCAAGTACTTTTCTAAAGCCAGTTCTGAGTTCAAGAATGTGAGCAGAGCTTATTTACAGGTAGGGGGTCTTAGACTCCGTCCAGACTAATGTGCGAACGTATATATACATTATTAGTAAAATCCAACTAGTGGTCTATTATCAATGCTGCATTCTGATTGGCTGAGCTACTACTAGGCTATATGTTATAGCCCACTTGTAGCGAAAAGCGCCGGTTTTTTGGCGGCGAAAAAGGGATTGAAGTCTAGCGTTAACTAGCTAAAAATTTTTTGTTCTCGATATTTTTGACCAACTAGTTGGATTTTACTAAAACAATTATTCCTCTCGCCCTCATGGCCTCTGAGTCAATAGCCCATTGACTCAGAGGCCATTCGGGCTCGAGGAATAATTGTTAATAATCCGGTTTGACCTAGCCACTACACCAGGGTCCTCAGGAAATTGCGACGGCGATGTTAAGGTCAGCACAAAAACAACGTTGTGATGTGGACATGTCCTTAAAGTTGACTGAATTTGAATGAAATTGTCAGAGTGTCAATGGTAGGAAATAGTTAGATAACCACTGAAATTAGGCCCCGTCCACACGTATAC